CCAGTACATCGCAATCACATCATCGTCTTCACTTGATGACATTGTTCACTGAATTGAATATAGTGGAGATGTAGAAGACATGTTGCTTCGACGGATCAACTCCATGTCGCCTGCTTGTACCATATCGAAATCATGTCACCGTCGCGTCGTTGTTTCGCAGCTTTTGTGGAACAAGGCCCTTAGAGGATTTAGTTGATGAGGATGAGTTAGTAACGTGTTATATCGAACGCGAGAAATTTTCGACATTTCTTATTACGAATTGGCCAGAAACGAACGATTACACACTAAGTTGCCTCAGAATAATATAGATTTGTCAACAGTTCACACTCGGACAATGCATAGGATAGTCAAGTACACGATTACAGTGGATTTCGTCTTCCGCCAGTTGAGGTACCGAAATTTAGTGGTCGTCATGAAGATACATAGAATGCGCTACAGAGTTTTCAAAAGTCTTGTTATCTTAAATTATTACTTTCAGCTTGTGTTCATCAGATAATAGTATCAATTATTGAATTTAGTGAGGCAAATAACATTGTATTTTTTTGCAAACAACATTTTTAAAACCACAAAACAATTAAATCAACCCACTAATTTGTCTTTTTTTAATACCTAATTACGTTTGTTTTTCTTTTACTTTATTATTTAATCTGGTTCATTAAACCATATTATTTCGAAGTACCACTAAAATTACCATGTTAAAGGTTAAGAAGAAAAGACAAAAACTGATGCATGAAGCAGATATGAGAATTCGTATATGGATAATTGGAACGAAAAAAACCGAATAATAATAAAAATGTATATATTAGGGAAAGTCTAGACATGGCATCGCTTGGTAATAAAAAAAATAGAATTACAGTTAAAATGAATATGACAGATTCAACTTGAAAATAGAGATTAGTAAGAACAATCGCCAAGCTTAAAATTCCTGGAAGGGATAGGAAAATAAAAGTATGGCGGTAGGCAGTTTTTTTACCTTTATAGTGAACAAATAATGAGATTTGTTGTAGATAGGTGGCAAGGATGTATTCCAGTAGGTAAAATTAAGGTGTCCAATCTTCGCTTTGCCGATGAATATTGTTAATAGCTCAAATTAGGGAAGAGTTAACGTTGCTACCCGAGAAAGTAGAAACAATGTTAGTGAGAAATATGGAATGCGCAATAATAAAAACAATAGAAAAGTACTGAATGCCGATAAAACCAAAAAGAACAGAATGGAATTTCAAAATATTGATGGATACGAAGTGATTGACAGTTTTATTTATTTTGAAAGGACCGTAAGAAAGAAAGCGCAAAAAGAAACTGTATAGAGGTAGAACCGATAATTCCAGCCTCGCAAAAATATGGAGAAACACACACAAAGAAAAATAAAATCAGTCTTGTACCAACCGGACAGGTAGATAAGAAAAGAATCGATGCATTTGTGCTGAGACAAATGGTTCGAATATATTGGACAGCCAGAAGGATAAATAAAATAAGAATTAGCATTCTTTGGACATATAATATGTGCAGATAATATGAGGAGACGAGTAAAAATATTATTAGGAAAACTTAGCCTGATAAGGAAAAGGATAAAGAGGATGATATATAGGATTAGTAAATTAAGAGAGACAAATCAAGTGAGTGAACTATGGGAAATCTATATGTAATTAAAGAAAGAAAATTTAAATATTTCGCTCATATTCTAAGAAATCAAAAACACAACCCTCTACAAATCATCATTGAAGAAAATAACTAAGGTACAAAGTAACATACCTAGAAGAGAATGAAAGTTCTGGTTTACATAATCAATGCAGTGAACGAACAAAACATCAAAGAAGTTGTTTAATAAGCAGTATATAAAAGTAAATGAAATAACGTAACTACGAAGATCCTGGCAAATACGGAACCTTAACAAGGAATAGCAAATAAAAAAAGTCATTATGAATTACGCAAATAGCATAAAAATAATTAAAGAAAAAGTTGTAGAACAAGAAAATAATGTTCCAAATCGGGTATATGAATGTTAGAGATAAAAATCAAACGCAGATAAAAGAATGAATAAAAAAGACAGGCAGTTGAAAGAGAAAAGTGAAAAGATAATACACAATTTTAGGATTAATTCATTATTATAGACTTACATATATTTTAATGTATTTTATTTATAAAATATTACTGTGCTATATTTTATATCTATTTTAATTATTAGTTTTAACTTAAACTGTACGATTTGTGAGCAAACTAGTTCATACACGAGGTAAACACACGATTATTCGTTATATTACATAACATTAATTTACATAATTAACAGAAAAGTTCCTATCACTAAATCCATAACTTATGTAAATAAAAAACATAAACAATTGTCTTTAGAATCAATTAGTTATCCTAGTAATTATTTATTCTTGTTATTGTTCTGAAGCTATTTTCTTGTGGCATTGTAAATTAATTACTATTTATAACTGGGAATAAGCCACATTAAAGATAAAAATACATTTATTTGACGTTTCAATTTCCAATTCGGAAATCGTTCTCAAAATACAAATAGTAAATTAAACAAATTTTGTTTTTTGTTACATAGTGAAAAAATTCTTCTGCTAATTTAATTTTATCTGACTCATTTATATTGACAATTCAGACATACATTATGCATTTTAAAGTAGACGACTTTAAAATGATATTGCCAATATTGTTGAGTTGCGCTCCTGGGACGACTTTACTTATAAGATAGTTCATTCGATTACATGAAATCAACTTTAACTTGAGAATATCCGTCAGAAAAAATCATAGCATGTAATTCGTCTTTAAAAAGACAAACACATGACATGATGACAGTAAAATTCTCCTGTTAGTGATTCCATAGTAAATTATGAGGGAAAAACCAGGAAAAAAACCTCATAATACTATCCCGACATTGTAAGTATTTGTTCGTGAATTTAGTTTACCTTCAACAAACATCAAAATTCTGATTTTATGTTACGTTATTTAAAAAACATAAATGATGTATCCTCTATATGTTACTGACTTACTAATACTGGTATTTTCTTATTAATAACTTCCTCTTTCAATATTGGTAACCAGATCCTACTACATTCTGCCGAGGAATTTGCGACACAATTGGCCTCATTTAGCATAATTAGAGCCGCTTCTTTGATTTTTCTTTTTTTACCATCCGTTTCTTTTAGGACTATATTTGAATTATTCCATTGAACTCTATGTTCATTATCCCATGCGTGTTTACATATTTGAGATCTATCAAATTCTCTATTTTTAATATAAGATTGATGTTCACTTATTCTAACATTTAATGGCCTTGATGATTCACCTAAATAAAACTGATCGCATTCACAAGGTATTTTATAAATGCAATTCTTTGTCCTTTCTTGTTCATTGTTAGGTTTGGTTTTGGACAAAATAGATCTCAACGTGTTTGTTGTTTTGAATGTTGTTGAAATGTTGAATTTATTTCCTATCCTTTTAAGTTTTTCTGATAATCCTTTTATGTACGGTATTGTTATTTTCCTCATATTATTCCTTGTGTATGCTGTAGGATCTCGTTCTAAGTTGTTCTGTTCTATTCGATCGATTGTTGAAAATTCCTTATTTATAAACGATAAAGGATAATCATTTTTTAATAAAACAGATGTTAACAAATGTTTCTCCTCCAAGAACGAATTTTCGTTAGAACAAATTTTGTTCTAACGAAAATTCGTTCTTGGAGGAGAAACATTTGTTAACATCTGTTTTATTAAAAAATGATTATCCTTTATCGTTTATAAATAAGGAATTTTCAACAATCGATCGAATAGAACAGAACAACTTAGAACGAGATCCTACAGCATACACAAGGAATAATATGAGGAAAATAACAATACCGTACATAAAAGGATTATCAGAAAAACTTAAAAGGATAGGAAATAAATTCAACATTTCAACAACATTCAAAACAACAAACACGTTGAGATCTATTTTGTCCAAAACCAAACCTAACAATGAACAAGAAAGGACAAAGAATTGCATTTATAAAATACCTTGTGAATGCGATCAGTTTTATTTAGGTGAATCATCAAGGCCATTAAATGTTAGAATAAGTGAACATCAATCTTATATTAAAAATAGAGAATTTGATAGATCTCAAATATGTAAACACGCATGGGATAATGAACATAGAGTTCAATGGAATAATTCAAATATAGTCCTAAAAGAAACGGATGGTAAAAAAAGAAAAATCAAAGAAGCGGCTCTAATTATGCTAAATGAGGCCAATTGTGTCGCAAATTCCTCGGCAGAATGTAGTAGGATCTGGTTACCAATATTGAAAGAGGAAGTTATTAATAAGAAAATACCAGTATTAGTAAGTCAGTAACATATAGAGGATACATCATTTATGTTTTTTAAATAACGTAACATAAAATCAGAATTTTGATGTTTGTTGAAGGTAAACTAAATTCACGAACAAATACTTACAATGTCGGGATAGTATTATGAGGTTTTTTTCCTGGTTTTTCCCTCATAATTTACTATGGAATCACTAACAGGAGAATTTTACTGTCATCATGTCATGTGTTTGTCTTTTTAAAGACGAATTACATGCTATGATTTTTTCTGACGGATATTCTCAAGTTAAAGTTGATTTCATGTAATCGAATGAACTATCTTATAAGTAAAGTCGTCCCAGGAGCGCAACTCAACAATATTGGCAATATCATTTTAAAGTCGTCTACTTTAAAATGCATAATGTATGTCTGAATTGTCAATATAAATGAGTCAGATAAAATTAAATTAGCAGAAGAATTTTTTCACTATGTAACAAAAAACAAAATTTGTTTAATTTACTATTTGTATTTTGAGAACGATTTCCGAATTGGAAATTGAAACGTCAAATAAATGTATTTTTATCTTTAATGTGGCTTATTCCCAGTTATAAATAGTAATTAATTTATTCTTGTATCAGAATAGGTACTGATAATACATTGACAAGATTGATTTTTTTATAAATATTGAAAAATTAATTTTTATTTCAGTTGCAACTGTACTCACGCCATGGCTTTAGACTTCAAATTCAAAGCTAAGGACCTAGTAGCAGAAGGAAGAGTAAAGCAAGATGATATCGATAAAATAAAACAATTCTTCGATGAAGTAGATGAAGAGTGTGTGCCAAAATCCCTTCCAGAAGAATTTATTGCTACCATTTTAATAGCGTGCTCTGGTGATGTAGCTTTAACTAAGAAAACTATAGTTAGCTATTTTAGTGTAAAAAAACTTGCACCTTGTATATTTGATAACAGAGATGTTGATAATGATAATATTAATCTTGCTCAACAAACCACGTAAGTATAAATTACTTTTCCTCTCTCTTGTTCTTGGACGTCCTACTTTTCTCCTGTCCTGCCTGCACTTTAATGTCTAATAGCTTTTAAGCGACAGTCTGGTTTCGTCCATTCTTTGAGCGTCGCCCATTATTTCTTTCTTGTCAAATCCGTCAAAGTTTTTTTTTCATTTAGGATTTCTCAAACTGTCCTTTAATTCTGGTTATTTTGGAACTCAAATCTAAAGATCATCGAGGCGCCTCTAGATAAATTAAATTTTTCTCCACAAATTTCTACATTACATACCATTTAATCAGAAAACGCTGAGACTATGATGACGTCACCATGGTGTCGTGATGACGTGATCCATTTGTTTTTTAAATGTAAAGCTTCTTCTTCTTCTTCTTTTTCTTTTTATATAGACATGCCTCTGTCTGTTTTTCAATTTTCTATTTGTTGTCATTCGGCTTATATGATTGTTCCATTCTACTCTTCTATTTCTTACCTAGTTTTTGATGTTCTCCACCTTGCATCTATGTCGTATATCTGTACTTCTAGCTCTGTCCCGTAGTGTCTTACCAATCAATTTTTCTAAGTATTTTCATCTCTGCTGTTTCTAATATCCCTTTTGTCCTCTCTGTGTCAGGTCTTGTTTCTGCCGCGTATGTCATTATTGGTCTGAGGACTGTTTTGTAAATTGTGCCTTTCGTTTCTTTCCCGATATTTTTATTTCTCCATATTGTTTCATTTGGGCAGCCTACGGCTCTGTCTACTTAAAATCCATCCATCATTCTTCTATTATCTGACCTTCCAGCTCCAATTTACATCTTAGTAAATTTGCTGTTGTGGAAATTAACATGTTAAATTTTCTAAAATACAGCATACATCGTAAATCATCTTCAGTTTGAGCGAGTAGTATTGCGTCGTCTGCATAGCAGATTATTTTAAGTTGTTTTTCTCCCATTTGGTATCCTTTTTTTGTTCCTACTTTTTTTATTATTTCATTCATAATCAGGTTGAACAATAGAGGACTCGGGGAATCTCCCTGTCTTATCCCATTGCCAGCTTCAATAGGGTCGGTTAGTTCTTCTTCTACTTTTACTTTTATTGTGTTGTTTTGGTAGATATTTTCGATCGTTTTGATTATTCCTAGTGGTATCTCTCTTGCATACAGTCAATGGATAACTCTAAGTGGATAAATATAATGCAAACGATGTAATATACTAATATACTAAGGATGAAACATGTTAATACTTTGACACGTATCTTATCAACGACGATACTGATGTCACATTGTTAGCTATAATATCCGACGTGAATTTGACAGGTAATTTATGTAAATATAGTTATCCCCCATATTTTAATATTAAAGAAATAACGGTATGTGTTACTTAAGTCTATATAATACTACTATATTAAGTCAAAAATTTAATTTAATTCTTTTTGGTAAATCAAGACATTCGTAAAATTTTTATTAGTCACATCCATTTTGCATCCAGTGACATCAGTGGCGTGCGATGCGCAACTACGTAGGTACCTGTAAAGTATATATGTTTTATATGTTTTTATGTTCTAAAAATAATCATTTTTTATTTTCAGAATGTAACACGTCATTATATATTTTATTTCAAATGTAAATGACAACGAAAATAAATAATTATTGTCCGTATATATGTACCAAAATAAGTTTTTTTTTGTGCACCACTGACATTCCAGAAACAAGAGTCGGCCATTGTTATCAGCTACTTTGGATGCAAATATTTATTCATAGGTTCCATCCTTTGTATATTACATCGTTGTATAAACCTGTATTTTATCTGTAAAATTTAAATAGGACGTGAAATTCTAAAAACCGCAAAATGTATTATTACTATTCCCCTAAAGTTAGTAGTTTTTGGTATTCAGGGTAGTGAAATTTAAAAAAATGGATTGGACAGTTTCAAGAAACTATGTTAAATTTTTAACAGGAGAAACAAAAGTGTTGGTTATTTAAATAAAAAACAGTTTATAGATGGTGCACAAATTAAGATTTCCTTGCTTATTGTCCACAAGTTTACTTAAATTAAGGACGTTTTCAGCTGTTTCAGGTCAACTAGGGTTAGTTAAGATATATATGCAATACTTTTAATAATAAATACCCTCATACAGAGGAAGTTATCGTACGATAGCTTTGATGAGTCATGCTCTAAAACTGTTCATAAAAATAATCCATAATAGGATCTATAGGAAATTAGACGTAGACATCAGTAACACTCAGATGGGATTCAGAAAAGGGCTGGGTACAAGGGAGGCTCTGTTTGCAATGAACGTTCTCTCACAGAGATGCTTAGACATGAACCAAGAAATTTACGCCTGCTTTATTGATTTCGAAAAGGCCTTTGACAAAGTACAACATGAACCACTAAGACAAGTTCTAATAAAGAAAAATATAGACAGCCGAGATATTCGAATTATATGCAATCTATATTGGAATCAAACAGCAAATGTCAAGGTTGAGGGCAGACTAACAGAAGAAATTCAAATCCGTCGAGGTGTCCGGCAGGGATGTGTCTTGTCGCCACTTTTATTTAATCTGTATAGTGAAGCTATCTGTGAACAAGCACTCGAGGAAGGAGATCTTGGTCTGATAATAAATGGTGAGACGATCAACAATATAAGGTACGCTGACGATACAGTTCTCCTAACGGGAACGCTAGTAGAACTACAACATCTCGTTCAAAGTCTTAATATATACTGTAACAGTTACGGCTTGAAAATTAATTTGAAAAAAACTAAATTTATGGTAATCACGAAATCAAAGAACATCAGAGCTAATCTTGTAATAGACAATACAACGATTGAGCGTGTGCCCTGTTATAAATATCTAGGTGCTTGGATCACAGACGATACTGATCAAACAAAAGAGATTAGATGTAGAATAGAAATCGCTAGATCAGTCTTTAATAGAATGCGCAAACTCTTTTGCAATCGTGATATCAATATAAAATTACGAATACGAATGCTGCGGTGTTATGTCTTTTCTACCCTGTTATATGGAGTTGAGGCTTGGACACTAAAACAGTTGACCATAAAAAACATCGAAGCTTTCGAGATGTGGTGCTATAGGCGCATTCTCAGAATATCATGGATGGACCGCGTCACTAACACGCAAGTACTCCAAACTTTAGACAAAAGATGCGAAGTTCTAAATGAGATAAAAACTAGAAAGATGGAATACTTGGGGCACATTGTGAGAGGTGAGAAGTACGAACTTTTAAGAAACATCATGCAGGGCAAAATTAAGGGCAAAAGAAGTGTGGGAAGAAGAAAAATATCGTGGCTTCGTAATCTACGTGAATGGTTCGGATGTAGTTCGATTGAACTTTTCAGGCGCGCTGCTAACAAAGTCGCAGTGGCCATGATGATTTCCAATCTCCGCTAGGAGTGGCACGAGAAGAAGAAGAAGAGGAAGTTACCAAGACATAAGTTTCTAAAATATAGTAAAAGTATAATCAATTAAGAAATATTCTTCTTCCTACAGCGCTCCCCGTGTGGGTTTTGACTTGTTCAACAATTGTATTCCATTTCCTTCTGTCATTGAATACTCTTCTTCAATTTTGACCGCTTACAATCCTTAGATCATTCTCGACACTCCCTAACCAACGATTTCTAGGACTTCATGGTCTATATTCGGGTGTCCTCTATTTTCCAAAAATCTTTCTGACCGTTTACTATTTCAATAAAATGCTCTGTTTCCTTTGTTTATTCTATTCTATATTTCTGCACTTTGGGTATGGTTATGGTAGATTCTAAGAGGGCCCATTTATGAGCCCTTCAGACACTTTCAGACCATTTCTGCACATACATTATTACCTTTGGTTACTACGGATCCTAAGTACGCAAACTCTGCTACCTTTTCATAGCTGTGAAGACCTGTTTGAAAAAAGTTTTTGTTGTTTTGTCTTTCCCTTGACGTAAACATATAATTGCTATGTTTCTGATTTATCTTAAATCCAAAATCTTGTGTCGTTTTATCTAGATCTTTGAAAGTCTTCGTTAATACTGTCTTTTTAACTAAGTTACTAAGTAAAATCATAGTGCATCTTCTTCTTCTTTGAGTACCGTGCCCAAGTTTTAGGCGAGGATTTAGGCTGCTTCCATCGATCTTTCCGTTGAGTATCAACTGCATTATTCTGTATCTGCTTCCTCTCATTAAATGCCCCAGATATTCGAGTTTTCTCTTTTTTATCATCTTTATTAGGTCACCTTCAACTTGACCTACTCTGTTCAAGTCTTCTCTGTTTGAAATTTGTTGAACCCATGATATTCTGAGCATTCTACGATATAACAACATCTCGAAGGCTTCTAATTTGTTCATCATGTTAACCTTCATAATCCAGGTTTCACATCCATACAGTAATACAGGATACACAACATTTTAGGAACTTAATTCTCAGCTGTAAGTTCAGCTGAGAATTGCTCAGAATAGATCTTCTTCTTAGGGTGCCTGTCCGTTCCGAACTTTGGCGATTATTTTGGCTATCAGGACTTTGTTGGTTGCTATACGAAATAGCTGTGTTGAGGTCTTGTTATGCCATGCTCTCAGGTTAGCAAGCCAGGATATTTTTCTTCGTCAAGGGGCCCTTTTCCCTTCAATTTTACCTTGTAAAATGCATTAAAGTAGCTCATATCTGCCTTGATTTCTGATTATATGGCCCAAGTACTGCAGCTTACAGCCCTTCACGATGTTGACCAAATCCGCAGTTGTCTTCATCCTCCGCAGTACTTCCATTGATGACTTTGTCTGTCCATGGTATCTTCAATATCCTTTTCTATGACCATAGCTCAAAAGCCTGAAGTTTTGATAGAGTTTTCGCCTTCAATGTCCACGTTTCTACTTCGTACAGAAGCACTGAGTACACATAACATTTGAGGAGCCTTAGTATAGAATAGATATAAGTTTCATAAATGCTCCTCTTGCAATTTCTATACGAGTTTTAATTTCTTCATCAGGATTTACTGCCTCGTTTATCCAACATGCTAGATATTTAAAATGGTTAACTTTTGTTATCGGTTCATTATTTACAATTAGTTGTATAGCGCCGAGACTTGTTTACTAACCACAAGTAACTTTGTCTTTGTTGTATATATGCTTAGTCCGTTATTAGAGCATTCTCTAGTGACTCGATATATAAGGAATTGAAGATATTCGATACTTTCAGCCATGATTGCGGTGTCATCTGCATATCTGATGTTACTAATAGTTTCTCCCCCGGTTCGAACTCCACATTGCCCTTCCACAGCTTTGTTAAAAATTATTTCTGAGTAAACGTTAAACAAAGTTGGGACAACACACAACCTTGTCTAACACCTCTTTGAATACAATTTTTTTCTGTTTATTTGCCGTCTACCAGAATAAAATCTTCTTGATTTCAGTAAAAGTCTCAGATCTTTATCATCTATTCCAATTATTTCTAGATATTCAAACAGCCTACCATTTTGAACCCTATCAAACGCCTTTTCAAGATCTATAAAACAGACGTAAATTGGTTTCTGTACTTGGTTTCTGTACTTCATAGTGTATCATATGCAGCTATTTGTTTGTTCTTCGTTATAAGGTTTCCGCGGATGTCAACTTTTGATACTGTTGCATGCATCAAAAGGCTAAACATTTTGGAAATATTACAGATCGCTTTTTTAGGCGAGCAGAAAATCTACAACTAGACGTGATACATAAATGCGCTAGATGAATTAAACGTAGATGACCCGGATAGAAAATTAGAATTAAAAAAATAATAATGAAGCGACCTAACCGAAATCCTCTCTTTTCTAACAATATCATTTTTAAGGATGAATCCTCCGTTTATGTAAACGGGCTCGTAAATAAAGAAAACTGTCAGAACTGATACAGAATGCTACGTCTAGGTTCTGTCTTAAGGAGCTAAATCATGAGGATTAAACGAAGATATATGCAGAAAGAATGTGACTATATTGGCGAATACTTAAGATCCCGTGGACTCACCGAGTTACAAATGAGAGGATCTCAGAAAATTAAGAAAGGTCGAGAGTTACTGACCAAGGACTTACGTCAAATCTCAAAAGCTACAGTACTTTTGACACATTATGCGAAATGAAAACAGATATTCCTTTCTAAAAACCATGCTGCAAGGAAAAATATTTGGAACGGAAAGTTCAAAAAGAAGAACATCCTTGTTTAAGATCCAGATTCAACAAATCTGTGCAGCTTGTCCGTGCTGCTAAACACTGGGCACTAACAAATCCTTACTAGATGACAGAAGCCAATATTCAATCCTCTTAATAAAAGATTATTGTATGGGTAAGAATTATTGACAGTAAAATTATCGGCCCAATTTTCGTAGACGGAAATCTTGCTGTTAGAAAATATTAAGACATGTTGTGACAGAGTTAATTGCGCTATACCCAAATGATAATAACAACCCAAATATCCCAAAATGAAGCTTTGTGATACCAGAAAGACGGGTCTATTCTCCAGTATGATACGACCGTTTGAAATTATTTGAACGAAATATTTCCAAATCAATGGATTAAGAGTAAGAACTTCCTATAAGGGCCAGCTAGCAAGCACGTACTCCCATGTTTCTCATGCCTTCTTCGGTGTTATCAGGATTTTTCTGGGTCTTTCTCTTTATCTCTGCCAAATTGGTCTATCAAGGGGTATTTATTTTACTGGACCATTTTACACTACTTGCATTACATGATCTTTGCAACGCAGTCGCACCTATTTTAATTTTAATGTATTTCACGATATCTGGTTCCTAGTATATTCTGTACAGTTTAAAGTTTTATCGTCTTCTCCACATACAACCGTCAGTCATCGCCTCATAAATTCTTCTCAATACCTCAATGACTTAAAACATCCTAAACTGTTTTCATTGCTTTTTGTTAATTTCACGTCACCTTTGAATTTCTTTAGAACCCAAAGAATCTAAGTACCTGTAAGGTAACCCATTAAAAGGTTACCTTACAGGTAGTACCATTCCTATTTTTTAGATAAACATTGTACTCCCCATCTAAACTGGTTGTACTGTTTAAATCAGAAGATTTTTTATCTGGAGCCCTAAATGCTTGGTTCCGAAATTCTTATTTTTTTTATATCGAAATTTCGCAGTCCTTTTACATAGTGGCTTTTTTCCAAGCCGATTTTTAAAGGCGTGCTAATCAAGGTTTTTCATGGAATATTTCATCTTTTTCAATGTCACGCATTGGTCTGGTACTCCTATAAACTTAAGTCTCTTTAATTTTTCAATCGCTCAGATCTTATCAGGGCTGTTATCATAAATTTAATTAATGGCATCTCATTGATATTAATATAATTTTTCAGATGTTTTTCTTCAATTCGATGGCCTGAGGAAAATACAGAAATTATATACGTAAAACTTAGAGATACAAATTACAAAAACTGTGAAATGGAGCCTCAACTTAAACTCAGTATTATGATAATGGACTTAGTCCAAACCACTAATCCTCCAGATAACGTAATTCTAGTACAAGATGTAACAGGGGTAAGTTTTACTAATTATTACTTATAAGAATTTATTTTAAAACGTGTGTGCAAAACTTGTTCTAAGCTCACACGCTTTTAAAGGACATTTATTGTCTTTTGTCCATTGTTCAAAAAATGTCTTGTTCGATAGTGGGCGGTTTTAAGGTAAAATCGAATTGGATTAACTACGGGGAAAAACTAAATTAGCAATGAACTATTGACGTATTGACTATTATGTATGTAATAAAGTATATTTAAACAAAACGTTTTTATTACTTTACACATTCCATGTCCTTTATCAGTAGTTTTTACTACTGGATATGCTATGTACTGTCATATTTTTTGAAAAGTAGATTTATAAATTTAAACTAGCTATAGCCAGCTTCAGGTCTTACGTGCTGAAATGCATGAGCTCAAGATTTAAAAGTTATTATTAAAAAATATACACCACATTCTAGCATAACTTACACAATTGTAAAATTTAACAAATAATTTTCTTATTGTTTTTACTTAAATTGATATTTTTATTTATATTATATTAATATAATAACGCACATCGTTAATTCACGTAAATTGAATCCCAAACATAGAAATTTATCGTTGACAACAACCTGTGTATGAATCATCAAGAGGAAGTGAATCATGAATATTATAAATAATATTAAATAGTTCATTGTGCAGGCCATTCACGTTCCGACTTGTGGTACGACTAGTGGTCCAACTTCTGCAGTTGGATCTGAAATCGGAACGTGAGTGGGCTAGTTGGATTAGTTGGACAACTAGTGGTACGACTAGTGGGACGACTTGAAGATCCGACTTCCGACTGGCGACGAAGTCGGAGCGTGAATGGTGAAGTTGGAAGTCGGATCACAGGTTGGATCGAAAATTTCCTCAGTCAGTTGACTTTCGGCACCTGTTACGTATGAGATTTCTATGAAATACTTTACGCAAAGATCTCTAGTTCGCAAATATTTATTAGAAAATAAACTTTCAATTGCACGAAAATTACCTTTTTGTTAGGGCAAATCATTTTCCTTTCTGTAGATCTATTTCGGACATTCCTATACAGGTAAATTTCCGATACTCCGGATTGGCTACGGAAGAATTATCAACATACAATAAAAATTAAATCATACTTGTAGCAAAAGATCCCTAGTTCGCAAAAAAATAATAGAAAATAACTTTCAATTGCACAAACAATAATTATTCCTATTAAAAATATACGACACACACACAACAAAATAAATCCCAGCTCCAGTTTAAAACAAATAAAATATAGATTTTATACCTATACAAATCTTTAAAAACTATAATTTTTTCCTACATCTTAAAAAGTCATAAAAATCAAGAGTTGAAAAAATTAATTAGTTCAGCCCTAGACAAATACCTAGAGAAACTAAACCTAATTTTTAAATTATCATAATATACAATAAAGATAACAAGCACAGTGCTGTCATTTTTCTTCTCCTAATTATATTTTGCGTAGTGTTTATTCGATACATCCTAGAACTGAAGTTGGACCGCTAGTTGGATAGAAAGTCGGAGCGTGAGTGGAGACGAACATCCAACTAGTGGTCCTACTTAGTGGTACCACAAGTCGGAACGTGAATGGCCTGCATAAAAGCTTTTGTATATATGGTTATTTATACTGTCTGTGTCACACTTAGAAATTCGTATTTTAGTGTTATTCGTCTGCATTTTAGTTTATGTTTTCTGTTAATTTCTAATATCTTTTTATTCATTATTCATTCTCATCAGATGTCCTATTTATCTAACTCTTTGTGAACTTTTGAACCGGCTAATGCTTCATTATACAATTCTAGCTCCTCATTTGTTTGTTGTATCCACACAAACTGTATTCGCGTATCTGCCCCTTCCTACGTATTTTGTATGCATATATAGTTTTGAGTATTTTTCATTACCATTTTGTCAATTTGTCCGCATCTGATATTTTTATTGCTCATATTTCACTACCATATGTCATTGTGGGCAGAGGCGGCGTAGGGCATGGGCGACATGGGCCGCAGCCTACGGTCTCGCGGTCCGAGGGGCCTCACGCCATGGAGATTTATATAGTACATACTTAAACCTAATAGGTATAACGAGTAAGTTAACAAAACAAACAATGATAACAAGGCTACTAATATCCAGAGCGCGCCCACACTCTCGCGCTTTCAAAATTTTCAAACACGAGCCGACGAACCAACGTGCCTATCCACAAACAAAAGTGATAACAATAAGCCATGAACGCGCCGAAAAAATTGTTTGCGTCGCTATCGCTCGCGAGAAATTCTCGCTGCAACGCACGTCACCGCTGGGCCCAAAGAGTACGTTCATAACGGAGACCATTGCATCGTATTCTCGCCTAGATCATAGCACTGACAGTGAACACTCGCATTTAAAATAAAATGCATTTATTTTACCTAGCGATCGATACGATGGTCGGAAACATTTAAGCAGTATTTTACAAAGAGATGAGAATACAAAAGAACATATGGTATTTATGTTCCAATTGATAATATTAGAGAGAGATATACAATACAAAAAAAACAATAAACAAAGAACGCGAAAGGCTAATTCGCCAATTTTAAAAACATTGGTACAATTTGTTTGAGGGATTATTCGATATTATTAACTTCTAAGACTCTCATAATCTCGCATTCAAAGGTCACAGAGAAACTTTAAAGAGAGACGGTGACTTTAAGAATAGTGGGCTTCATGATTTATTTAAACTGATATCAAAATTTGATCCTAATTTACGAGAACATATGAGACTTATTACTGACAAACAACTTACGCATCATTATTTAAGTCACGATATACAAAATGAATTGACCATACTGATGTCAAAAACGGTAACTGGTGAAGTGATTCCCAAATTAAAAGATGCAAAATATTGTTCTGTTTTGCTTGACTGCACTAGAGATTGTAGTAAAGTAGAACAAATGTTTGTGATCTTAAAATTTTGTAATACATTAACGGGCCCAATAGAAGAACACTTTATTTAATTTCTTGTTGTAAGTTAGACTACCGGAGAGTATTAAAGTAATGCCATACTAGGTGATCTATTAAAGAATGGCTTAGATATTTAAAATTGCCGTGGCCAAGGATACGACAATGGCGCAAATATGGTAGGCATAAACAGTGGAGTCAAAATTCGAATATTAAATATAAATCCTAGGGCATTTTTCACACTTTGCGGTTGTCATAGAATACAAATAATGATCCCTAATTAAACTAAATCAGACGTGAAAGACTTGCTTCAATACATTACAGATAATAACTTAAAAGAAATATACCCAAACATTTACATCGTCATTAGAATATTATCAACAATATCATTAGTACAGCCTCCGCTGTAGCAGCTCCGAAAGAAGCTTCTCAAAATTAAAACTCATTAAGAATTATTTAAGGAGTATGATTCACAGGAAAGACTTTCTGCGGTCGCAATTTTGTCTATTGAGGCTGATATAGCATCCAAGCTAGATTACAAGCAACCGTATATATGTATTTCTGACTATTGGTCGTCTTCAGTACGGTGCAGCCAAAAGTTAGAAAAGGAGCATATTAACTTGGGAAAGGATCACTACAACAGGAGCAATGCAACCAATTTGTGGCACTAGAGTTAGAAGACCCTGATGGTTTTCAGGGCAACCACTAACACCAAACACGGAGGAAGCTACGGCTACATTGGGAAAGGAATTCCAAACGTTGAAACGTTTAAAACGATATATTTTGTATATTTAGCTTTATCAGTAATCTTAGACTTTCTTTGTTTATTTCCCATTGCCAATCTGGCTTTCAGTATCTGCATTATTTTTGCAACATAAACATATTTTATAGAAATTAAAAGATTTTTTGATTTAATAAGCATATTGATGAAACATATTTCATAGATTTAGACAGACCATTTTAAAATGTTTTCGACAATTCTTTTGGATTTAATGCGATATCTAAAACCTAAAATCAGATTCTGTCATGTCTCTGAATCAGAGAAAAAAGATTAGGATAAACGGTCCACATTGTGTTTTAATGACAGTGTCATTTCTTTTTAACTCAATATTTAACACCGGAGTGATTCCCGCAGATTGGCTCAAATCCATCTTTGTCGCAATACCTAAAAAACACAATCCACAAAAATACAATGCGAGGAAATGCTCAGAATATCGATTAATTATACTAATGAGCCGCACTCTTAAAATTTTCCTTAGAATAATTTACAACAGAATTAGACACAACTGCGAAGAAGATGTTGAAGATACCCAATTTGGTTTTAGAAATGCTATGGGAACCAGGGAGGCACTTTTTGCGCTTAACATCCTATTACAAACATGCCATGACCAAAGAAAAGATGTATTTGCATGTTTTGTGGACTTCGAAAAGACATTCGATAAAGTACAGTATGTAAAATTAATGCAAATACTGAAAAATATCGGAATAGATGACAAGATTATTCATGTTATTAAACAATTGTACTGGAATCAAACTTCTATCGTTAAAATTGGAGATAACTACACCGATGAAATCCCCATACAACGAGGAGTCAGACAAGGTTGCATTTTGTTGCCAACATTGTTCAATGTTTACTCGGACCAGTTATTTAAAAATGCACCTGAGAAACAACCATAGGGAATAAAAATCAACGGGGAACTACTTACTGTGATTAGATATGCAGATTATACAGTAATTCTATCAGATAATATTGAAAGTCTTCAAATTCTGCTTGATCGTATTCACGAGGTAGGAGAGGAAATGGGCATTAAAATAAACTCAAACAAAACCAAATTTTTAGTGTTTATCCTGACCCACATCCCGATGTAAAGCTTTAATTAAACAGAGTCCATGTTGATAAAGTTCACAAGGTTACATATTTGGGAACTGTGATAACGGACCAACTAGATCCAGACAGAAATAAAACGTAGAATCATCATCATCTTTGGCTCTACAATCCTGAGCGGGTCTTGGCCTGTTTAAGAATTAGTCTCCATTCCTCCCTATCTTTCGCCCTGGCTTTCCAATTTCTGATCCCTAGATTCCTCAAGTCATCTTCGACTTGAGTTTTAAATCTAGATCTTGGTCTGCCTCTCTTCCTGGTTCCTACTGGCCCTTGATATAATATCTGTCTTTGGGGGTCTTCAGTATCCATTCTTTCAAGGTGTCCTAGCCACCTTAGTCTATTAATTTTAATAGACCGGACGATGTTGCATTTTTCATAGCATTGATACAACTCAAAATTGTAGCGCCTGTGTCATATCCCGCTTTCTTGTACTCCTTCGTATAGATAACGTAGAATTGCAATGACTAAAACTACTTTTATGAAAATGAAGTCATTTCTTTGCAATAACCATCTCTGTTTAGAACTCAGGCAGAGAATGGTTAAGTGCTATATTTGGTCCGTACTTTTGTATAGTGCAGAAGTGTCGACGCTAAAACTATCAATCATGAACAAAATTAAAGCATTGGAAATGTGGGTTCATAGACGAATGCTGAAGATACCTTGGACAGCAAGAAAAACTAATGAAGAAGTACTAAGGAGCGTCAACAAATATAAAGAATTGCTAAAGACTGTTAAACATCGAAAAAGTCTTATCTGGGACATATAGTAAGGGGAAGTCGATATAAAATATTACAACTAATCTTTAAAGGCAAAATAGAGGGCCGTAGACGTGTAGGAAGAAAACAAGTTTCTTGGTTAAAAAACATTCATGAATGGACCTAGATACCAAATGCAAGACAATTATTCCATATTCCAAAAGATCGAGAAGCCTTCGTAATGGTGATCGCCAAAGTCGTATAATTCTGATATGGCACGCGAAGAAGAAGAAGAAAGTCATTTTTTTTATTTTATAACTTCCAATTAGTTATTAGACGTTTGCTGTCAAAAATTTATTGGTTTATCAGTGCATCTTAGATTAAACATCGATATGTAAACAAATTGAAAATTAGCAGCAAATAATAATATAAAAATAATAATAAAAATAATAAACATATTATCAAGAATATAATTTAATAACAATTTTACTCCAAAATTAAGCATAGAATTCCAACATTCCATTTAAAATAAGGAATTTTACAGCGATTCTCAGTCAAACTGAGTAGATATTCAAGTGTAGTAGTGAAGATATTCAAAAGTAATAATTAAAAAAATATGTATTAATTTAGAATGTGGAACATGTTTTACCTCCTCCTCCTGGTCTACATTTTTATAAATATACTACAATAAAACATTTAACACTTTTAATTGAAATTTTGTGTGAATGATCCTGTATACTATAGCGTCTGAAACAATTTAATCGGTAGAAACTCGAAACAAATAGAAGTGTTTACACAATAAATTGAACAGAAAAAGATACAGAAAAAGACAATTTATAAAAACAAAATATGATCAGACAAAAATATAAATATTAAATTTGTCTTTGTATCTGCCTAAGTCTTTCTGCCTAAAATCTTTGTATTTGCCATTATTATAAAAATCCTAATTACTTATTTAGAAAATATAATTTAAGTTAGCTTTTCGGGACATTGAAAATAGCTGCGGGACACAGTACGAAATAAGAGCCCGTCCTGAGTCAGGCTATCCCATGTGAAACCCTAATTCTAGTACCTCATGTTACATTAAATGGTACTCTTCTGACATTCAAACCATCTACAGCCAAAATGGCAAAGCTGCTAGTGAACACAAGATTCTAAGTTTCATTTTTGATATTTGGCTCACATGGAAACCACAAATCACCAATTGCTTAACTAGATTGGATCTTCTAAAATCTCTAGCACACCATCACTAGAGGGTGTTGATGAAGATATCTTACTTAAGATATAAAGATTTTTTATTCGCTCTCGACTATAGTATGATAGCTTCATATATATATATATATATATATATATATATATATATATATATATATATATATATACATATATATAAATATATATATATATATATATATATATATATATATATATATCATCATCATCATCATCATCCAGCCCCATTTTCACATCCATTGTTGGATGTAGGCCTCCTCCAAACGTCTCCAGTTCTCTCTATCTTTAGCTGCTGCAATCCAGTTTGTTTGTATTATATATATATATATATATATATATATATATATATATATCAGCATCAAATTCTTATCTAAGAATTCTTAACAATAGAATACAGCATTGTCTCACAGCACGAGTATGCCTCGAAGCCTTTAAATCCTGTCCTGCCGAAAGCCTTCGCTGTGAGACAAGTGAGCGTCCCCTTTAGGTTCGCAGACAACAACTGCTTCTGAAAAACTTTGCTAGAGTATATTCCAATCGGAACCCCCCTGTATATGAGCTAATTCACAAATCCTATAATTATGAGCCTAACAGTATATATCAGACAATACCCCAAATTTGACTTCTCCTTGCACGATCGATTGATCTGCCAGTAATAGATACTCATATTCTGTTAACGTCGTCTTACTAATTTCCCCTAAGACTAATTACGATCCAAAAATTATCTTTCCGCTCAACAATTACCACAAAAATTAAACTAACAGTCAAATGCTGAGACAATATTTTCTAAGGCTGGTTGACACACTCATATAACGAGACAGAAGTTTTGCCTTCCACCATCCACTTTAATCCACACAAGAGAGCTATGCGCCGTCATAAAAGCATTAAACTGTTTATTTCAAGCAGTCATTAATGTATGCCATACATGAAGCTACAAACCATCTCACTTCTTCTGGAACAAATATAACATTAATTAAGACTCCTTCCCACGTTGGTATTATAGGCAATGAAACTGCTGACCTTGTTGCAAAGAGATCAATTACCACCAATTTAGGTATCAAAACTGTCCAATTACATCCTAAACATCTACACTGTCCATCAGGCCTAAAACAACATTTTAGGTTTACCACCATCAGATTTATTTTAACAAATTAATCGTCCGCAGGTTAATTGGTCGTACGTAACGGACTTACCTAGTGGTGACAAGTGCAGTTAACCATTAACAGTTTTTACACAGTGTATCGAGTAACTAGCAAGTGCAAAAAGGATGTGGTATAAAAGGTTCTAAAAATTTAGAATTGTTTAAGCGTCAATAACCTTGTAGTTTAGATACAATAAACTAAAGAAAAGAATTGGTATATCTTTGGTTTACTGGTTTATTTTTAATATTTGTTTTGCTTTTATTATTTCATACATAGTTAATACTATTTTTCACAACTAAATGTTCTTTCGAGACATTAAGAGTACGGTCGGTAATCTTCCTGTACCTATTTATTCCTTGACAATGTTTATAGATCAATCAGTAAAGAATCCGAGACCAGGATTATTGATCCAGATCTCTTTAACGATCAAGACCCGTTGTAACTGTTACTTACTGAGTGTTGTGGATTCGGACATTATATAACCTTGTCCACAATCAATATTTAGTTTTATTGAATATGTCAGCAAAACTTTATACTTAATAGCTTCTTTGATTGCAGATAGGTCTTATGCATTTGACGCGTCTGAAATTTGATTCCCTAAAAACTTTTTTCTCCTACATACAAGAAGGACTACCAGTGAAGTTAAAAACAGTACACTACGTAAATGCAGGATACGTTTTAAATAAATTTGTCGCTATTTTTAAGCTTTTTATGAAACCGGAACTTGTGGAAAAGGTAAGAAAAGGAATTTAATGGATTTTTTGAGTAAAATTATAAAAAATTATCTAATTTAGTATATTTTCCAAAATTAACTCTTTATAAATGGGAGAAATAGAAATATATTTAATGAATTCGGCCACATTTTATCCCATTAACGCCTTAAAAGAAACTAACGTGGAAAAACACGGTACAAAATTGTGATGTTTGGATTACATTTATTAGATATATTCAAAAAAAAAATTTAAAACATTTTGAAATACAACCCCGTTTTCAAATGGGGACGTTAGGTATTTGTATGGTATTTTTCAAAACACCCTTTTCCAATACACATTGTTTTTTCACACTTTTTGCATGTCCACCTTACCTTCATATGACACACACACAATACTTTGTTTTTCCAGTTTTCCCGGAAAATGAAAACCTTTGGTGAGTTCAATGCTGGAACCAGCTTTTCTTTTTCTTTGTGTCCTTGAAGTGACACCATCTCTCAAATAACTACGTAATATATGACGACGGAATTCCAACTGATCCATCACATTTTCAGCAGAAATTTGATGAAGTTTCCTGGCATTACTCATAATCGTGTCAAGAAAGTACGTAAATAAAACCCACCACCACTTTTTACCTTATACGCTTATTCGATATAATGATATGCACTGGTCATCCGCATCTACTACACCCATTCGAGAATTGTAGGAAGCAAACAATTTTGGCTGTACTACATTTTTTTTTTAATTTTGATGCTCTGGACCACGTTCTACCTGACCTAATGGTTCAATGGTATCATAATTGGATAACAGAACAAACACTATTGTCATAGTATTTCACACACAAAATTTCCTAAGCTTTGTCGAATCTATGAATCTATAATCATATGTACCTCTTGCTATTTTCTTCATTAGCTTAGACTCCATTACTGGATATTTTTGCACACGATTTTCTCATACAGGTCCTGTGGCCTTTATGTTTTTTGTTTCAGGTATGTCATTAGTTGATATGTCGTGAAATAATTATCGAAAAAAATTTGATTTCTAGATGGTTCGGGCAAGTATTTCAAAAAATTAATTACTAGTTTAGCTCCAAGTGGTATTTCTTTAGTATATTCAGTATCATTTGTTTTTTTTTTCAAAATAAACGTCAAAACCATTACAATATCCAGTGGAACCACTTATCATCCAATTCTTATATCCAAATCTGACTGGCTTCCCTCTAATAAATTGTTTTGCTGGGTTATGGCCAAAATATTTCAACATGGAATACTCTATGGATATAATTTTATGGAAACATCCCCACTGGCATAATTTTTCTATAATTTTATCTGCTAATGGTCTAATTTTGTACATACGATCTTTAGAATCGCCTATTTTGGCATTATCCGCTAGATGAACAAACTTTTTTATTTCTAAGTACCTGTCTCTGCTTATAGCGACACAGGAAACTCCTAGGTCCTCACCTGATGACCAGTATAACCTCTCTCATGGTAATCTGTTATACCCAGTTAGATATAATATTGCAAAAAAAGTTTTTATTTCGTTGGGAGATATTGTAAAAGAGTGATTATTTTTTTGCCGTGCGTATAAAATTGACTTGTCACAAATGTATGTAATAATTTCTTCAGTAAGAAATTTTTTGAAAAATTTGAATTGGTGATAAATTCCTAAAATCTTTTTTAACGTTTTTTTTCCTCCTCTTCAAAAGATATATTTACTGTTGTAATTAGATTGAAAATCGGTTTTTACCCACTTGGGTTTGTACTAGTTTGTAGCGATAAGACTACCAAAGAGAATTGAAATACTATTATAAAAATAATACCTCAATCAACCATGGGAGCTTATCGTCTATGCTTCGCCTAGCTCATTATCTCAAGTGTGAGTTTGTCTTGTCTTAAACTATGAATCAAACCATGGACCCTTAGCTGATAGCAAATAAAACAACTATTTAACTAATTATATTTAATAAAAAAATAAAAAACAATCAACCAATGCTTTACAATAAATAAATTTGGCGATACTTATGGCATCTATGGGTGATTGTGTGGCCTCCCAATTAGATGGTTAGGTCCTCTTGAGCTGCAGTTGTTCCATATTTGTATGGCCTCTCTATAAGGTGGTTAGGTCCTCCAATAAAGTCAATAAATCCTCCAATAATATCCCATAAAACTAATAAATATACCAATATACTCTTGAATACGGTTAATATACCCAAGAGAATTCTGCAGACCATAAAATGAAGCTTATAATAATTTCTACCTTCTTTTATAAATTTTAATTAAAGACAAAAAATAATCCCACTAGCTTAGAAAAGGTGATTGATAGAAAGTAGGAATGGACTGCAATGAAGTAAGCACATATGGCATAGGACGTATGCCTATGATGGAATTAGCTCTGCTGTCAACATAGCACATAATATTTCCGGACAGAAAGAGAGAGGGCGAATATTTCTACTGGTCAGAAAGAGAAAGAAAAGAAAGACATATGGCGCCAACTACTTTTTGAAGAAAAAATAGTAAAAACGAAAGTGGAGGTAAAGGAATTAATAAAGATTTTTAAAATAAAATAATCATTTAAATATAAATTAATAAATATGTGACCCAAAACCTTCGAACCAAAGTGTTCGATGTTCGATTCTTGTATCCTTCCCGTTCTCACTTACGGAGCTCAAGCCTGGACATTCACAAAAAAGAACATGGACAAGATTTGAAAAACTCAGCGAGCCATGGAACGACAGATGCTTGGTATCTCACTAATAGATCGGCAAACGAACGAAGCAATCCGGAACAAAACAAAAATAAAGGACGCCGCGAAACAAGCAGCTAAATTAAAATGAAAATGAACTGGATATAACGAACGTTTCGAAGATGGTAGATGGAACAAAGAAGTCGAAAACTGGTGACCGTACGACGCGAAGAGACCAAGAGGAAGACCTCAAATGCGCTGGAGCGACGATATCAAAAGAGTCGCAGGACCAATGTGGAAACGCCTAGCAAATAACAGGGATGAATGGCGAGAAATGGGAGAGGCCTTTATTCGACAATTCGGATAGAAAAAGGGCTATAAAAAAAAGATGTGACGTTTATAATGTTACAGGTTTTAAAAAATTAGCATTTTGATTGTCCACCTAAAATTTTATCAGAAGTTCTTACATCTTCTGGTTTATCATGAGACTTAAAAGAGGTTTCTATATTTCCAGGAATTTCATTTGGAATCTAATTCGGGTCTTCTAGAATATCATCATTACGTTCTTCATTATCTATCAGTTCATCCAAATTGGGTGGCAAAACACACAAATCAATACTCTCCAGTTATTCATTTTCCTCGTTATTAGCTTCTTCCAAGGCTTGTTCCAATTTTTGGAAGGTTTTAGAGCCATAAAATATTGTAGAATCCATGGTGATCTGAAAAGAAGCAAATACACGAATTAGATATATTTGTGCCTAACGTCCTCATTTGGGTATATCAAAGTATATAAATATATTAAAATTTATAAAATATAATTTTTTTCTTGATGAAAAAATGTTTTTTATTCTGCAACTACACCTCTTTTGAAACTCGTGTAATACGAAGCACTATATAATCACATCTGGTTGTATTTAAAGCGAACTGAAGCCAGTTACTGAGTAAGCTATTTATCTCGATAAGGGACAATGTGACTTATAGCTCAAAACATTTTAAAATTTAATAGAATGTTTATTTTTATAGGCGTCCTCAAATAAGTACGGCCGGCGTTAATGGGTTTGAGCAATGAGTATAAAAAGGGAATTCTTATCAATTTTTAAAATATATTTAAGTGCCGCCTATAGCCTATAAGTTGTCTGATTATATGCTGTTATCATTCCTGCCCAAAACAGTGATTCTGTACACCAATAATCGAAATACCCTCCAATTTTTATATTTTCGTTTTTCTTCTTAAGACATATAATATCTGGTATATTCCAATCCTTTATTGCAATTAGTTTTTTCTACTAAAAAATGTTTCGCCTGCCTTAATTACTGCTGACTTCATTTCATTCTAGACACTGTTGATATCTTTCTGTAGCTTCTAGAAATGTCTTATTGTTGCTGGTCGGATGTTGGTCTTTGAAGTTTACTTTTTTTTTGTTGTCTCAATTTTATTTTCACATTGGCGATAGGTAGAAATTTCATTTCTATATCTTTTGTTTATAACATCAATTTGATTTCTTATCAGGTTACTCTCATTGTCTCCCGGTGCATTCCATGTATACAGTCTGCTTGTGGAGTTGTTACCTACAGATCCCCTTAGACACTTCGTCTCAGGGCCAGCAACTCCAGTTTAGGAGTCTTAGGTTGCCATAAAGTAAATTCCGTCAATAACTTAAACATCCTAGAATATTATCAGCAGCAATAAATAATTTCAAATTAATCTAATTAAATTATATTTAAAAGGTATTTAAAGGTTTCACTCATGTATACTTAGTAAAAGCACTGATGATGGAATATTTATTCCGAAAACGTTCTGTTGTAGCCCGAAAGGGTTCTTTTTATTAAATATTATTATACCTTTTAATTAATATTAGTATTAATATATTAATTATTATTTTAGTTAATATTATTATACGTTTTATAAAAGATTTTTAATTGTTTTGTATTTCTACAATTTTCTTTAATTCAAAATTTCTTGACATTCCTCAATCTTTGTCTTATCTTTTTTTATGTCTCTGTATTTTCTACTTGTTTCTTAATTCTTCGTCTTTCATTAAATAGATCTCTGATATCAGCCATACTCCGTTTTTCTTTAAAATCTCCATTGGATAATTGTTTTTCGATTTTATAATTGTATTTATATAATTTTTTCGTTCTCATTATTTGTGCTGCAGATTTGTAATTTTGCCTTACGAAGGTTTTTGTTTATTTCCTCTCTATTGCTTTTTATGTGTGTTATTGCATGTATTAGGCTTTTATCACACATACCACAGGATTTATCATACACCTATGTCTTAGTATATTTAACAGCGTTACTATATCTCTTTAACATCATCTTGTCAACTTTTTGGTTCCTTCCGTCTTGATTTTTTATTTTTTGTCTTATGGAGATGTCCATGTTTATAGTTTTCGGGGGATCGTTTAAATAATATCTCCCTCTTATTCCTACTTCCTAATTCGCTCTACCAATACCATGGACAGTTAAGTACCGCATTTTTTGAGATAATCATATAATAACTTCTTATCTATTGGTAGTTTTGTTGTTATTTATAGCATAATAGAATATTTCGCGAATTTTAGTGGATCTATTTCCATTTTCTGCTCATTGTGTATCGTTTATAGCCAATATATCCAACATGATACCCTCAAATGTCCTTAATAATAATATATGGCTGTTTAGATAAAGATAATTACGAATTTAAGCCGAATTAACTAACTTAAAACTAAACAGAAAATCAGCAGAGAACAGCCTTATACATTCTTAATACTCTTGCATATAATGAAAAGACAATGAGTCTTGCCTAAACTGCTTACAATATTTATTAATTTCGATATAGTATTTTCATATTTAATATAATTTCGCTATTTCCTTTTATCAAAGATTGTACACCAACTCATACTATGTTCTTATTTAAGCTTCAGTTTCATCAAGGCACAAGACGACTAGCAGAATTTTTACCTAAAGCTTATATTCCAAGTGATATGGGTGGAGATCTCTCTTCAATGGAGGATCATCATGTTGATTTGATGAAAAGACTGAGGGGAATGAAGACTTATTGGAACCAGGAGGAAAGCTTGAGAAAAAAATGTTTTAGCTGTGATGAATAAATAATTTCTAGTGTAATCTGACATACAACCATATCTGAACTGTATGCTTTGTTTCGCTACAGCAGTTTATAACGAATCGTAACCTTAAAAGATCTTTATATTAAAAAAAATACTTTTAAATATAATCTGTTACGGGTCAGTGAAAGCAAAGTCTAAATATTAAAATTTTATTTTAAAAATTTGACGACTGTTATAAAATGTGATTTCTTAAAAATGAGACCATTTGATATCATTGTTCTTGAAAGGTAGTAATACTGTATTACTTAATTTTTTACATTAATAATATTTTATGGCGTAAATAATATATTAGTCGTAAAGGTCATATTTTAGTAGGGAATTCCGCATTTTTTATTTGTAAGATAACTCACCTGGCATTTTATATCTAAAAGGAAATGATATAATTCTTAGGTCTTACAATTTGAAAACCACAGTATGTAAGATGCATATTCCTTTATCCCTGTTTGGAGTAAAGTCGATGATCACAGTTTTAATTTTCAGGAAAGTTAATTAGTAATATTTCAGGAAAATAAGTAAAAAGGACCAGTGTAGCGACTGAATACGACTGAACATGCATATTTGTTTTTCCCCGATTGAAGCAAGTTCGATCACAGTTGTAATTTTCATCTGTGTTCAGGAAAATGTGTAAAAAGAACCATTGTTGCCACTGAATCGTTGAGGTATTTGACAAGTTTTTTAGTTGAAATAAACCTACAGAATAAAAACCTAAATGTTTTGTGCAAATATTTTTTTCAAACTTTTGCCTACTACTGGGTAGATAAGTAGGTATTTGAAATAAAGTTTAAAAATTATATCTTCTAACACGTTTAAACAGAACTTCTAAATGGACTACTTTTAAAGTTTTAAAATAAATGTGTTGTTCCGAACGCTTCAATATAAATCATATCCTTAGTTAATTATGTAATAATCAACTTACATCTTTGATATTGCTTCCAAAGATAGGTCTTGAACCTTCAAAATTTTTATAAATCTATCATTTTGTTTTCAAAAATCTTTTTTTAATAAAATTATAAAAAAATAAAATAACAGTTATTTTTTAATACATATTTCTGAAATATTAGTGTCATTTTAAACATATAAATATTTAGAACAACTAAACTTTTGCTCGTAGATGAAATCTTTTTTAAATATGAAAACAAGACAAATTTGCATAAATTTACAAAATTGTTTTTAAATGTTAAACACCGTTAAATTAGGGTCATTTTATAAATAGGATATGAAGTTTTCACCTTAACGGGATAGTATGTAGATTTTCAAAAATGACTCTCAAATAAAGACTAGCCAGAGTGACTAGGAGGAACTCTAAACTACGCGTTTAAAAAATTAAATAGCAACTTCAAACCGCTATAGTTTTCTAGTCTTTTTCATCCACATGTTAACCCCGCAAATCTGTTATTTTGCATGAGCAAGTTAATTTATTAAGCAAAAAATCGGGTATAAGAGTGTCTAATGATCTTACAGATATTAACTCCCTTTTTGATAATTTCCACTCCCAATCTTGTCATCGGTTATAGCGCTTACCCATTCTGATGGTTCATCTACCTTCTCAGTTATATCTCTGTGTACTAAATCATCCAAAGTAATTTTTAGCTTACCTTTTATTTTTTCAGCAACTCTTCTACAATTACTTACAACTGGCCTATAACCTAACCTAACCTATAAGACACGTATTGAAATAGCACGTACATCATTTATTAAACTTAAAAAGTTTCTTTGTTGTCGGGATATAAGGTTAGAACTACGTCTGACTTCGATGTTACGTGTTCTCTACTCTTCTTTATGGTCTGGAAGCTTGGACACTCAAACAAGTTCATCTGAATAAGCTGGCCGCCTTTGAATTTTGGTGTTACAGAAGAATCCTACAAATATCATGGATTCAAAGAATGTCAAACATGGAAGTAACTAGAAGGATAGGAAATGAGGCGGAAATAATATTAACTATTAAAAGACGAAAACTTGAGTACTTGGGACATGTGATGAGAGGGCAAAAATACGCATTATTACAACTTATTATGCAGGTCAAAATCCGAGGAAAGCGAAATGTGGGAAGACGAAGAATATCCTGGCTTAAGAACTTAAGGGAATGGTTTAAATGCAGTAGTGCAGAACTTTTTAGAGCGGCAGTCAACAGAGTCCGCATAGCCATGATGATTTCCAACCTTCGATAGAAGATGGAACTTAAAGAAGAAGAAGGCCTATAACCTTATTTTAATTAAATTCTATATTTAAATGGTACTTTACCAGTACCCTCAAACAACATCAAATTTATTTTTGTTAATGAAACTGTTTTTGGTATCTCTCTTATTGTTCAAATTAACCTTATTCAGTTTGCAAGTTATCTTTAATTTTACACATGTTTTTAATCCAAGAATAGGTTTGTCTTGTACATCTACAACTACAAATTTTATATTTCGAATATTATTTTTGATTAAACATTTTAGGACTATACCGTTCTACTATACATACTATACATACTATGCATACTATACATTCATTCTCTCTTTCTAATTTTTTTATCCAACTTAGTGGAAATACATTACATTTAGCCCCAGAATCAACCTTAAACTTAATTATACTATTATCAATACATACATTTTCTGTCTGACTTTTCTCTAAATCTGAATTATTATTTTCATAAATGTTAAATATAGTCAGATTATCAATAACAACATCCTCATCATTTAAATCAAAATCATCAACAACATTTACATGGTGGTTAAATTGATTGCTATTCATATTTTTACTATAATAATTGTTAAAATATTTACCTGTATGCTGGTTTACCTTGTTATAGCTATAATTTTATCTGTTTTACAGTTACCAGTTTTGCATCCAACGACAAAATGTCCCACCTGTCCACACTTTGCACAATTTTTTCCAAAAGCGAAACATTTGCCCTTGATGTGTCTTCTTCCGCATTTTGAGCAACTGTACTCCTAACTTTTATTATTGCCTCTGTCGCTGGTACTGAGATTATCTTGACTGAAACTTCTTCTTCTTCGAATTAGATTTACTTCTTCCTTGTTTAAGTCTTTTGCTTGGATCTTAGTAGCTTCCGTTGAAATAATAATTAAAGATAATTTGCAAACTGGATGAAGTTAATTTAAATAATAAGAGAGATATCAAAATCAGTTTCATTAACAAAAATAAACAGTTGTTTGAGGGCACTGGTAAAGTACCATTTAAATATAGAATTAAATTAAAAGTAGGTTATGTTTAAGAGTTCAATAAACGTGGTCACAAGTTAATCTTGTATTATTTTAATTTAATATAAAACCAACTTGAAACAGGTCTATTAACAGGGCACTGTAAGCTAAATAGGCAGTTAAAGCTGGTGAGATTGGCAAATAAGGACATGCAGATTATGTCATCTAGAGGAAGAAACAGCTGAGCATATATTGTCTCAACGCGACAGCTTGGCAAATGTTCTTTACAGTAGGTGAAGTAAAGCCACCAGATAAGAGCTAATCTAAGATTAGAAGAGCACAATATAGATCGCAATGGATGTTTTGGACATATGGTACAAAGGAAAAACAGCAGAAAGGTGAACGTAACATATGTGTGTGAACAAAAAATGATCAAGATGTGCAGATCGATCAAAACGGGGAATAATGAAGTGTTAAAAGTAGTCAACAGAAGAAATATGGACTAGAGTCGTCCAAGTATTGCTGCTCGTCCCCTGACCTCGACACTATAAGGTAGAAGAGGATCGATTCTGATGATGATAAAAAAGGAATTTACAGAAAATGTGTAGGTTTTTTATGTATATTAAGTAAAAAACTTGTCGATTCACTTTGTAGGGTTCAGCAAATGATACTCAGTATAGTATCATGCCTTTTTGTCGAAAGTGAGACATTTGTTTAAAATGACGGTCTTTTTAATAGTCTTTATTATTTTAAAGTTGATTAACAAAATTTAAAAATTAAAAATAATAAAATAAAGTGTATTTCTAAATAAACGCTTGTTCAATTGAAACTCATCTTTGGTCGGGTTAGCATTGGAAACAATTGTAATTACTTAACTGACCTTCTGCAATGTTAGTTATGTTTATAATCGTCACACTGATCAGTTCCTATGTGTATCTGACTGCGATTTTAACTATTGTGATTTAAAAATGGCGTTTTTTGTTAACAATCCGTCCAAATGTAATCAGTGTGTGGTAAAAATACATTATTTTTGTCAATTATGAAGGGCCCTTACTTGTAGAGTTTACATTTTCTATTGTTTATATCAACGCAAACCTGTGTAATGAAATATTCAACAATCTCTATAAACCAATAAGACGAATCCCAAAAGATGTTAAAAGCTAATTTCTTTTTAAGAAATACAAAATATCGTAAAATAATCTTTAAGCAACTGCCACAGAACTATTTAATCAAGGTATACATCAGTTGGTAAAACAATGGGATATGTGCCTTAATTTTAGTGATAATTATTTGTAGATATACTGGCCAATCAATTTTTTCTGGGCCGAAGATATGTTTTAATCAGACAAGCCTCATATTTTTTGTAATTCAAAAGTTTTCGTATAAAAAATATCAACAATTACTTTGTATCATAAACATTTAAAACTATTTGCTCATCGTTGTCTGAGAGATGTGTATGTTTTTTTTACCTAACTTCACCTTCTCTAAATCACTACTCAAAAATAAATGAAAAATTTCCGTACTTTCTTATGGAGACATTATACCAGCACAAATTCAAAAAGTATAATTTATATTGAAAATAATAGCACACTTCGACACTGTTAGAAATTGCTCACATACACAGCAGTGTAACTCAATGAGTAACCCAGCCTCGAGAGGCATCCATATCCGTAAAGAATGCTCTATAACTTGCGGTGTGGAGAGCTAGTACCTATTCAAATAGAAACGAACCCTTCCCACAATTTTTCCCACGCCCCTGTTTGTTTCCTGGTTTTTTCTATGGTTCACCATTTTTTTTTATTTCGTATTTTATAGTGTGTGGATATTAGTCCCCTGTCTAGCGTGACTCCCAGATATTTAGCATCATTTGTCCATTTAATTTGGGAATCGAAA